CTACTGGACCTCCAGGGAAGTCGCTGTAGCACTGTACTTTAATAATAGCTTACATGAGACTTGCTGTGTATCAGGCGCTTTTGTAAGCATTTTGCAAAGATTAATCCATTTAATATTCATAAGTCTATGAGATAAGTACTATTATAATCCCTATTTACAAATACAAAAAATATGACATGGAAATGCTAAGTAATTTACACAAGATCACACAGCTAGCAAGTAACAGTTGAACTCCAGGCAGCCTGCCCCTGGTGACAATGATGCTTTTATTCATGATGCTGTCCTGCTTCTTTGAGAAGAATCATGCTGTTACCTGTGACCCCATCCATTTGCGAATGATAATTTTTGGTAAAGAAGAAGTACAAAAAGGAAGAGAAGAAAGAAAAATACTAGTCTCTGTGACCTTAGACAAGATGTAAACTTTCACTTTAAGCAAATGATAAAATTTCTTTTTTTTTAGAACATTAGAGATTCCATGAGAGATGATATTTTGTAAGTATCAAATTGTGATATTATTAACAATCATTCTTGATACAAGTAAAATTTTCTCATATTGTATCTGAATAAGTTAATAGAGTGTCTGTGGGGGCATAAGAAGGTCTCCTTTCCCTGAAAGCCATTAGCCTAAGCCTAGTTATCAAGTCCCATTGAATCCTAAATACATTTTCCAATTTTTAAATCTAGGAACAAAACTCTGATATTGCAGGTAATTAAATTCATTCTGAGAAAAATATATCCATGTGGGTTAAATTGCCAGCATTTGAACAGAATACTAATAACAAACTGTGGGAAGTTTTGTTGGTTACTTCGAGCTTTGAATAAACACTGACCTATTTCAGATAACCCTGTGACTCATCTGAAAAGCTGCAGATCACAAATACAGCATTTAAATGGAGACACAAATGCCAGAGTGTAGAGATTTTCCTCACTTCAATGACTACACTTCCTAAATCAGAAAACCTTCTAATTTGAGGTTTACCAAAAATAGCACTGGCACATAGGGAGCCACAAATCAACAGTTTCCATAAATAGTCAAGATTTTGTCAAAGACCCAGTTCTAGAACTAAAATTTTATATAATAATTGACCATGTTTTGGAGTAAAAAAAATTTCAATCACTATTCGAGTGCCATAAAAAGAAATCTAAAATGGGCTATTTCTATTTTTGCTCATGATTAAATATAGTAGTCAAGATTTTTAAATTATTCCAATATTGTGCAGGAAAAAAGATTGCAAAGAGCTAAGAAAGTAATAATTTCAATAAAGTAGGCCTCCCAATATCATAAGGAGGTAGTCACAAAATAAGAAGGGTGCGGTGAGACAGAGTAAGAATGTGTGCCAAATGGAAGACATCTATGTAAGTATAAAAAATATTTGTGGACAATTAGAAGCAAATGTCATCTTCAAGGTATTATACTAAATGCACTTTGCCATGGTCCACATTTACCAGTTTCCCCTTGTCTTCTCCAAGCTTGTCTGATTGCCTTCAGATATTCTCTATGTCAAACCAAAGAAAAGCAATTTCCTACAACAAATACACTCAAATTTCTACCTCCAGTGCAGATGATTAGGAAAGTGAAAGACATTTATAGATATCAGTGGGGAAAAGCAATACCATGCAAGGAAGGCTGGATTCAATAGACCCCAACTAAAGCACAGCAATCATCAAACTTTGTGACTTTGTACGCATCATCTAACATTTTAGGACCGCAGTCTTCTCTGGAAACTGGAATTGACACCTTCCTTTCTCACATACTGTTATGAAGATTAAATGAGATTATCTCAGTGAAACTCATTGTGAGTCATAAACCATGCACTATGAACACGTCAAGCTGTTATACAGTATCTTTTTAAATACAGTGTTATTAAACTCTCGGCAAAGAATGTGTGATCTAAAACCTGTTGTTTCTCTGCCAAAAGGGGGGATTTTCAAGTGTTTGTGAGCTGTTATAGGCAAAGAAGCATCAGAAATGAAATTTTCCCTTGATGCAGTCAGAGGATAGAAAAAGAAGTTAACCGGGAACAGCAGTTATTTAATGTTTACTAAATATAACTTATTGCTTTGAAAGGATCATATCACCTTTGTTTCACCTAAATCCATTTCTGCTCCAACAGTGACAATTATCCTATGCTTTGGAAAACACCAACCTGGTGAATTCTTGTACTTCTAGAGGTAGAATTCCATGGGTTCTGTTGCTAAATGGTTTAATCAAAGCCACAATTTTAGTCAGTTGTGAAATTGGACTAGAAAGTATAAGATGCTTAGTATCTTTAGCTCTCCTAGCCACTGAAGTCCACAATCAGCTAAATTGCACATCATTTCTCAGTTTTTACAAAGTGACAAACTACATACCAGTGGCAGACATATCCCTCAAAAGTTAATGACCTCAGGGAACTGGGATTTCATTACAAATGGTTAGCAATAGAAAACAAATTTTGAGTTGTCAGAATTAAACACCTGCAGATGAATGATTGGATCTATCAAGTGGCTAATCGGAAGAGTCTCTTCTGTTGCTAATCAGGTATAACATTTATGTACACTTGATACTGCGAAAATCTCTAGACTCACCCACACAGGTAACCCACAGGTTACCTGTCAAGTAGACATATGCCCAGGCATATCTCATGTCTTGACTCTTCCAGAAAATCAGTTGGCAACACAGATGTAACCATGTTATTCTTCAACTTCAGTTCGTCAATGGTTTCTCATTGCTGGGGAAATAAAACCCAAAATCTCTAACACAGTCTTGAAAATTCCTCTTGGTCTTGCCCTTGCTCACCCCTGCTGCAGCCTGATCTTGTTCCACACTTTCTTATGTTCTCTGTGCTCTAGCCATACTGGCCTTCTTTTATTTTTCCAAACTAGGCCTATTCATGCTGTCTGGTCTGGCAAATATTCTCTTACCCAGCCCTACATCCCCCCAACCATGCAAACACCTCTTCATTCTTCAAGTCTCAGATAAAACAGTACTTCCTCAGAGGAGCCTGACCTGAATCACTTAGGTGGATTGTATTCAACTGTCACAAGCTTCCAGAGAAGGCAATGGCACCCCACTCTAGTACTCTTGCCTGGAAAATTCCATGGACAGAGGAGCTTGGTAGGCTGCAGTTCATGGGGCCGCGAAGAGTCAATCACGACTGAGCAACTTCACTTTCGCTTTCCCTTTCATGCATTGGAGAAAGACATGGCAACCCACTCCAGTGTTCTTGCCTGGAGAATCCCAGGGACAGGGGAGCCTGGTGGGCTGCCATCTATGGGGTCGCACAGAGTCGGACACGACTGAAGTGACTTAGCAGTAGCAGTAGCAGTCACAAGCTTCTCCAGTTCCTTACCACTGTCAGTCATAGTTGAATTCCTAGCTTATGTCTTTCTACTCCACTGGTATGTAAGCTCATTGAAGATTTTAAATGTGTGTATCTCATTAATCTCTGTAGTCTTAGCATTCATCACAGTGTCTGGCACTAAATAGATACCACTAAGCAATTGTCAAGTGAATATGAACGAATGAATGAATGAATGGCTTTAAACTGGTCTACACCTAAGGCTATGGAGTCCTATGGGATAATTCGGTAATCTTGTGAGGATTTGGTATCATTTTTCAACTTTATCTGGGTCATTCTCTTTGTCTAAATGTGTATGTTCATGATATAAATCTTCCTGTGGGGCAAAAGGGGTAACACAATCCTCCATTGAGCTTAGTGACATTCCAGGGTCCTTGGTGTAAATCTGTCATTGGGAATACACTCCCCTCAAAGTAGGGCCACCGTAGTATCCTGGGACACAGCAGGTCAGTGAAATCATGATTTCCTGCGTAAGTAGCACAGTGATGGAGACAGGTGTACACCAAGAGGTGTGCAAGTACACTTGTATTGCACTTGGTGTCATGTGAGGCAGCATGGTGGGGTAGAAAGGGCACTAGACAAGGAATCAGAAGAACTGGGTTCTGGTTCTGGTTTTGCCACTTGTTTTTTTAATGGTCTTAAGTATCTGGCTCTTTCTGCTACAATGTTCTTCCCTTTGGATTGGACAGATCTCTTGCCTATCAAGTTTTTTGTAGGTACCAAATGAGATAATAAGTATAGTATACTATTTTATCTAGGAGTTGTTGGTACTTCATGTGTGAAGGTGGTTTGTCAATTGTAACAGATAGCCAAATTATGATAACTTTGTCCCTAGTCCTTAGGAGCAGTTTTATCTTCCGGATTTGGAATAGTATCTATCAATATAAAGTGAATTTTCATTCCAGCTATTTGATGGCTAGTGTAGGTAGCCCATTCTCACCAGTCTATTGATAAAGCAGTTAAAATTAGTTGTGATTGTTCCATATTCAAGAGATAATTGAGCTTTGACTGATACGATGTAACTTCCTTGCTTTAATTCACTCTTCTATAATACAAAAACTATCTTTTAACAAAGTAGTCAATATGATACCTCTTTATGGTTCAGGCTTTTGTTGGCAAACAACACAGTAAAAGGACCTGAATTGTGAACCAGATCAGCTACTATCTCCATGGAATGATTTTAGAGGAAACTTTAGTCCTATTTCTCCTCATTCATTGATACTCAAAAATCCCTCATTTAGATAAAATTTTTTCTTTCCACAGTTGGACATGAAGTTGAAATTTAAATCTCCTTCAAATAAGTAATATAGTAACTTTTTACCAAGATGTAAAGGATTAGTTGAAAATATTTTCTGAGGACAGCACGTGAACAAGAGGGCATTAAATATATGCCATATAAAAGTAAAAAAGAGAGAACCATAAAAATAACTAAATCCATCTTCTTACTTTACTCATTTAAGTACTGAGCTTTTAAAATGGATTTATTTTTAAATGTACTTTCTAAAAAAAATTATCACAAAATAACTGCTGTGAAAAAAAAATACGGGAAGAAAAAGCTCCTATCTAAAATAAACGTTCTCTTGTATTCCATACTTGTCAAAAATATGTACTAGATAGGATCTGAGTTAACTCATTTTCAACATTTTTTTTTCACTACAGACTTATAAATGAATCTTTGAGGGACCAGCTATTGGTAACCATCCAGAAGACTTTCACATACACTCGAACCCAAGCTCAGCACCTCTTCATCATCCTCATGGAGTGCATGAAGAAGAAAGAACTGGTAGGTAACAGTGTGTCTGTGGGTGGCAGAGACCTCCCCATATCTCCTCTCTCTGTTTAACCATTTTCTTGAATCACACATCAACTGTTTCTCCTTTCCAGCCAAGCTCACAACCATCCTCAGGCTCCACTGGCTCCTGTAGCTTCCTCCCCTCAATAGCTGAGACATTGTGTTTTCTGCCTGGATTCAAAGAAGTGTGGGCAGCAGGGTTCTAGCATCAGTTGCTACTGAAGCTCACCCAAATGTTCTGATTGCCTCAGTGCAATGAGGTGAAGAGAGAACATAGGTTTCCTCCCGGAGAATGATTCCGTTGATCCTCTTAGGTTTAGGGTTTCACTTGGCTTGTGAGTAGTATCTTAGTATCATCGATCTTAGTGGCTCAGGGTACAGGCTAATCTGTTCATCTGTACAGGTAGAAAATGAAGAAATGTACTCAAGGAAGTTTGGAAATTTCTATAATTTCCAAAGTGCCCTTCATAGCTACTGAAGAAGCATTTCTCACATCTGAGGAAAATGTCTTAGAAATGTGCCATCACAGAGACCTTCAGTTAGGGTGAGCAGAAATAGCAGGTGCTAACACTGAAGGAGCCCTTGCTATGTGCCAGGCAGAGTGCCAGATCTTTCCACATATTAACTCATGTGATCTTAGCAACTGTCCCGATGTGAGAGGTACAGTTGTTACCCTCATCTTCTAGATGAGGAAACTCCAAGTCACCTGACGAGTAAATGAGGAACTAGACTGAAAAGCAGTGGTCTTTCATCTCTGTGGTAAGTATTTTTATTCAGAAATTGTCTCGTTGAAGCAAAAGTAGTGCATCGTCCACTCTAGGTCTGTTCGTGGTGGGCCTCAGGGAGGTGAGATTATTCTCAGAGGCCATGGGAGCCTATGTGCTGATGAGGAGATACAGGAGCAGTTCACCCCTGAGCTGTGGCCTCACTCAGGCTGGGACAATCTCAAGTCTGCTGAGCATCCTAGAATGATTATCCCAGCGGACTTGAGGGTGCACTGCCCCTCCAGAGGGGCTCCGGGGCCAGACCCTAGAAGGATCAGCTGTGAGGCAGGGCGTGTGGAGAGGAACTGGAGTGAGCTGCCCGCCTCCAGTTCCCAACTAGACTACAGGCTCCCCAGAGCTGGGCCGGAACTGTCTTGTTCGCATTAGCTGGTAGACACTGGTGCTCCCTGAGGCTGCCAGGAAGGAGGGAAGGAGGTGATTTCTGAGTTTAAAGAACTAAACACTTAGAAAACAATACCTGCCTCATATAAACAAGAGCAAACTCCAGAAAACATCACATAGCCCTTGTGAAAAGCCTTTCAGCAGCTTCTAGGTTTAGCATGAAAGGAGTGAGGTGAGGAGAATGGGACAGTACCTCTAATTCTTGAGTACCTGACCTAAGTAGCCTGGCTGCCCCATATAGAGAAGCCTGCGTGGAGATGGTTCAGAATCACGACTGCCAGCGTCCCAGGAGAGCCTCTATCAATCCTGAAAGTGCCACTGCCATCCTACCGTCCTCCGGTCTTGGAGGCAGTTAGCTCACAAACTATTAGCCTGTGTGTTTCCTCCGCTTCTAAGAGGGGCATGAAACTCTGAGCTTCTGCATGCCGCAGAAGAGATTTTCCCCTGACCATTAATGATTTTAAAATGCCAAGGTCAGTGACTGTGAAAGCTTACTAGAACTCTACATTTCAGCAGTCCTCCGAGTTTCCTAGAAAGGCAGTCAGGCTCAAAATTCTAGGAACTAGTTGGAATTCATAAAACCAAATGAGGCTGAATGTACTTTTCTGGGTATTTTATAGGACTGTTCCCTGGGATTCTTTCTGTCTGGTAATTGTCTTGTTGCTTAATCATGGTCTCTGCTGAAATGTCAACTGTATTTTATTGCAACATAGTCATTGTAAGAAATATGAGGTGTCCCTAGCTCTAGACTAAGGACATGTGATCTTAACAAGCTGTAAGTTGTACTGATCTCCATCCACATCTGGGCAGAAATTAGGATTTTTAAAATCATAAATGTAATTAATTTCCATTTTTGAAGGACTATGTGTATCGATACTAGATGCTTTAGAAAGGAGGTGGGAGGAGCTCGGCATTATTTTTCTCCTTTTGAAGGAAGTGGGGGAGGGAACAGACGCTGAAGAGATGTAGGGATGTGCGCACAATGAGGAAGAGCCACACCAGGGCTCTCCTGCAGAACCCAAGTATCTTCTCACCACACAACAGCAAGCATCTTTCTAGTTGCTTTTTTGCATATTTAGGTGGTCTAGAGTTTTTATGGAACTTGCCTTGTGTTTTTATTCCCTGATTAGATATTTAATCCATCTGGTATTCGGTACAGAGTTTCCTTGCAACTTTTTAAAAATTGAAGTATAGTTGATTTCTAGTATTTCAGGTGTACAACAAAATGATTCAGTTATATATATGTATAATATATATATATATCATATATATATATAAAGAATTTTCAGATTCTTTTCCATTATAATTTACTACAATATACTGAATATAGTTCCTTGTGCTATACAGTAGGTCCTTGTTTATTTTATATATAGTGGTGTGTGTCTGTTAATCCCTGTTATCCCTCCTCCCCTTTCCTCTTTGGCAACCATAAGTTTGTTTTCTATGTCTGTGAATCCATTTCTGTTTTGTAAATAAGTTCCTTTATATCATATTTTAGATTCCACATGTAAGTGATAGCACATAGTATTTGTCTTTCTCTCTCTGACTGACTTTGCTGAGCATAATCATCTCTAGGTCCGTTCACATTGCTGCAAATGGCATTATTTCATTCTTTCTATGACTAAGTAATATTCTGCTGTGTATATGTACCACATCTTTATCCCTTCATCCATCAATGGACACTTAGGTTGCTTCCATGTCATGAATATTGTAAATAATGCTGCTGTGAACACTAGGGTGCATGTTTCTTTTTGAATTAGTATTTTTGTCTTTTCTGGTTATATGCCCAAGAGTGGGATTGCTGAATCATATAGCAGCTCTATGTTTAGTCTTTTAAGGAACCTCCTTACTGTTCTCCATAGTGGCTACACCAGTTTACATTCCCACCAACTAGTATAGGAAGGTTCCTCTTCAAATTTCTTTTGATTCCCTTTATGAATGAAGTGGGATGTCATATCCAGAAGTCAGTCTAAATTCATTTCCAAGTTCAACTTTAGGATTTGGTTCTAGAGCTGTTCTTACATCTTTCTCATCCCAGCATCCTATTAACAGTGTCCTAAAAACCTGCACTATAGATGCATATTTAGCTTGTGATATCGGGCCTCTGGGCTATGTGGCCTCATGGAAAATATGCCTTGTTGGGCCCTTTGTATGAGTAATTTCTACACACTTCATATTGTTCCTGAAAAAAAATCACTTCTCCTCTGCTTACTTCCCAGCTTGGGTCAAAACACCTCAAATCCTATGATCTTCCGAGAAGATATATCCTTTTAGAAACCAACTCATGAGCTAAATCCCATCACTTTATCTAGGAAAAAATATTAAAATAAAAGTGATAAAAACTGTCCACAGCAATACACTAATTTTGGGTCAAATGTAAGGGGTCAGTGGTCCTCCACTTCCTTCTTCTCCAAAGGGATGTGGTCATAAAGAACATTAGAACAGGAAAAGAGGGCCCCAGTGGCATAGCACACTCTGAGGCTGATTACATGTGTAGAAAGCACAGAGCCTTTTAGTTCCAGAGGGCAGTGCCAGCTCCCTCCCTCTGCTGCTGCCTCTTAGAGCTCCTACCTGCCCTCTGAACTCCTGTAGAAGCTTCCCTCACATCCTCACTGCCAACCCCCCAGCCTTAGCCTGGGCAGTACATTTGCCAAGGACACTTTGTTGTGATGGAGTATTGTTAGACTCAGCAATGTAAGCCCTATGATATGTGTGGCCCTAAACAAGTCATGGTGGAGGATGGCACCTGCCTGGCTCCTGGTGTACAATCTCTCATTTCCATGCTGATGGCTCCTCTAATTTGCTACCTTCCTTTCCCAGCTGCTGAACCTCCTAGGGGCCAGTGCTGTTCACTTTGCCACTATTACCAAGCCTAAGCTTGCTTTGCCTGAAGCACAACAGGCCAGTAAGTCTACAGATGAGGTGTTGAGGCAAGGAATACAACTTTATTTGGAAAGCAACAGACTGAGAAGATGGCACACTAATGTCTCAAAATAACCATATTATCAGGTCTGGATGTCAGGTTCTTTTATAGAACAGAGATGAGGGGAGATGAGGAAGTAAAGTAAAAAGGCCGTTAATCTAGCAAATATCTCCTGAAATGTCCAGCCATGGGGAGGGGATGTGTTAATTTCTTCCTTCCTATAGCCTTCCACTCGTGGACAGGATCCAGAACAAAGGCATTTTGGTTTAACATTCAGGCAGAGATGCAGGGTTCCCCGAGGCAGATATTTATGTCTGGGCAGTATCCTTTTAGGGAACCAAAGCAATGTAAAGCAAATGTTCGGAAATAAACAGACCCATCTTAGAGTCACAATTGGCTCTTCCCTCTAATACCACCACTTCCCAGTCACACCTGACAAATCATGTCTCCACTCAAAATTGATGCTGCTCTAAAATCCAAGTCCCAACTTCAAGTACAAAAATCCTACCCCCCACCACCATCACTTCATATCAAACTTGAATGCCAAGCTTCTCCATAATTCACTAGTCTGATACCAAATTCCTAAGATCAGCCACATGAAATATACTTTCATCCACATAAAAGTATTTTTAAAGTGTAGTTTTCTGTGTCCTGTTCCTAGTTGAGAGTCCAAATAATCACTCCCAAAGCTGAGTCATTGTTTCTAATTCAGTTAGGTCTTCAGTCATACTGAGCAATCTCTTTATTCATCTCTAGTCAGTGGATACCGTCTCCTGTTCTCTACAATCATTGCTCCAAACCTCTCACATGTTAATCTGACTGCTTCTCAGGATCTTCTGTAATGCATTTCAGAATCTTTATAGTATGGCAATATGAACTTCCTTCTTTCTTAGAGCTTGGTC